GTGATCTTCAAATGTCAGAAAAAGCCTATGCAATTTTGTTGAATGCGGTTCTTATAATAAGTTAATAATGATATAAAGTGAACAGGATGAATTAATTTATGTTAGGGTATATCAATTTTATTACCTGTTCTATTTTCTTCAGTTCATTTTTTGCTTCAAAGTTGTTGGCATCCAGCTCTAAAACTTTTTCATAATCTATCAGAAAATCAGAAAACAATACTTCAGGTAGGAATTAGAGGTTAGCAACGAAAGCATAAAATCAGAGCGTTCCTTTGAGATAAAGTTTTAGTTACCTAAAAACCCTGATATTACAAACAACAAAGTATTCAAAGATATTTAGTGCTGAAGTATCATGTAAGTATTGACAACTACAGCAATTATTTGGACTCCCAGCTTGAACTTTACCTTGAAATAAAGATGTGGTATGGTTTATTATTATTTTTTTAAAAGGAAATGAAACCTAAATTCCTGTATCAAATATGCATGTCATACTAGCTTTAGCCAAGCACACAGGTGAATAGTGTATGTTTTTTAAGGAACATGTTAAAGAAAACCCACCTTCTTTAGCACCTTGAAAATTTTTCAAAGCAAAACGAGCAGCCCCTCTTCTGGCATAAGCCTTTGTGTAATTTTTATCTAAAGCAAGTGCTAAATTGCAATCAGATTCTGCAACAGAAAACCTAGCAAAGACATGAATGAGTTAGTTTGCATGCATTTAGATAAAAAAACCCAAAACCTTAGGAAGACACTTTGAAACTTTACAGGCTCTTTCTAAAGTGACAATCTTGCAGGTTTCTCAAGAGACATAGCACAAGTGTTTAAGCAACTTTTGATTCAGAATACATCAAATCAGGAAAGGAAAGACAACAACAACCTACTGCAACAAAGAATATAACCAACTCCCTCATACCCTTTTTTCCCTGAAAAGAAATTAGAGCCTTAGAAACAGGGCCGATAGAAGCTGAAAGGTAAACTAGATGATAAAGCCACACAACTGAAGGTAGCATGTCAAAAGAAAAAATACGATTTAACAATAAAATTCTTACTTTTTCATTCTATAAAAAGCAGATGCCCTGTTTGTGGGCAATACTGGATTGAATGGATCAGAATGCATCCCTCTAGTGTAGCACTTTATAGCTTCATCAAAGTTCCCTTGTTTAAAGTATTTGTTACCCTGTGAATAGAAATAAAGGAGTAATCTTAGCAAATTATTGCAGAAATATTAATTTTTGATTAAAAAAATATAATTCATACTTGTATTTTAGAATGTTCAAATGTTTTAAATATCTCTCAGAAAATACTGCTTCACTGTGAAATACTTCTTGTAACTAAAATACTAGTTTGATTCATGCAGGAATTCTATAAAACATTCCAATTTCTTAATATAAGAACAACACCAATATACTGACTGTTATTAACTGTACATTACATAGAACCTTAAATAGAACCTGCCATCATCAGTGATCATAAGAAAAATGCAGTCAGAATTTTAAATGTTGAAATAATGGGCTGTAAAAAAAGACTTCAAAAAAATCTGAAGAGCAGGCACATTCCAGTCTTATCTTAGTGAGCAATCTTTAAGAAGAAATTATAACAGCTCCTATGTTTAAGTTGTTTTTTCATAGATAATATGTAGATAGTAAACACTGGTAATAACCTTTTCCTTCTCTGCAAGAGCCTTTTCTTTATCTATATGAATTCCATCTTCTTCAGAGTCTGAATCTGGAGATATAGAATCATGAGTACTATCATCTTTATCAAGTTCTTCCAGTATTTTATCCTGAAAATAGATAAAATAAACCTTTATAACTTCAAAATACAAAATAAATCAGGTAAAACTTTAGGAAAATGAGCTTCATCTGTTTATGAATCTCTACTGCTAAAGTCCTCTTCACTGAGAAGTATTCCACACTCCACAAGAAAAACATCTATCTTTTAACACCACAGCAGTGTTTAGTGTCATATTCCACTAGAATTATAATCTTTGAATAGACCTATTGGTAAAACACTTTTTCTTCCTTAAAGTTAAATGCAATCTGCTGGATGAAAGCAGAGAGAGAGAGAACTATAGCATTTTTCATTATTCCAATGCTTAATCCTTTGTAGGGAAAGAGCTATTTTCTTTGTCCATAAAATCTCTTGTAAAGTAGGATACTGACAGAATCACAGAATCACAGAATTGCCAGGGTTGGAAGGGACCTCAAGGATCATGAATCTCCAACCCCCCTGCCACATGCAGGGCCACCAACCATTCCACCTAATGCTAGACCAGACTGCCCAGGGCCCCATCCAATCTGGCTTTGAACACATCCAGGGACGGGGCATCCACAACCTCCCTGGGCAGCCTGTTCCAGTACCTCACCACTCTCTCTGTAAAGAATTTCCCCCTGACGTCCAACCTAAATCTCCCTTCCCTCAACTTAAAACCATTTCCCCTTGTCCTGCTGTCACTCACCCTTTCAAAGAGTTGATTCTCCTCCTCTTTGTAGGCTCCCTTTAGGTACTGAAAGGCTGCAATGAGGTCACCCCACAGCCTTCTTTTCTCCAGGCTGAACAAGCCCAGCTCCCTCAGCCTGTCCTCATAGGGGAGGTGCTCCAGTCCCCTGATCATCTTCGTGGCCCTCCTCTGGAACCTCTCCAACAGCTCCCTGTCTTTCTTGTACTGGGGGCTCCAGACCTGGACGCAGTATTCCAGATGGGGCCTCACAAGAGCAGAGTAGAGGGGAACAATCACCTCTCTGTCCCTGCTGGCCACCCCTCTTCTGATGGAGCCCAGGATCCCATTCGCCTTCCGAGCCGCAAGGGCACGCTGCTGGCTCATGTTAAGTTTTTCGTCTACCAAGACCCCCAGGTCCTTCTCCATAGGGCTGCTCTCAAGGACCTCTCTTTCCAGTCTGTAGGGATGCTTGGGATTCCTCCGGCCCAAGTGCAAAACTCTGCACTTTGCCGTGTTGAACCTCATCAGACCTCTAAATGTAACTCTCAGCACTATTAAAAAATCTGATTTAAAAACAAAATCAACTAGGGACAAAAAAGAAAACAAACCACAACCACAGGGTAATAAACAATTACTCTAACTCACCACATCAAGTTTTCCCCAAGCTTCATAATCATAAGACTTGATCTTGTTTTTCTTGTTTTCCTCAGAGGTTGTCTTTGATGGGACTTTACTCTTGCTTTTCTTCTTTTTCTTAAAAGTCTTGTTTCGAATGGGTGGTAAATTCTATATCGAAATAAGTACTTTATTATAAAAGAAATAGACTTACAAAAGTTGCTTGTACTGAATATTCTATAGTACCTATGTCTACACACAGGTATCCCCATCTACTGTCTACTTTTATTTCATAAATCCATCAAGAAAGCTGTTGTCAGGAATTCTACAAGAAATTCTACAAAAAAGGATAGCAAGCATAAATCTTTCAATATATAGTAATAACGAGTATTACATTCATGATATAAGTTTTAGAAGACAACTTTCTGCAAAGTATCACTGATTAATACATTATCAGTGCACAATAAATAAGTAATATTGATGCTGCTGACAGAAATATTGTACTAGATCTATCAGAAACTGATTAAACATTTATCGGCCCCCAAAGCATTCGTGACCTCCAGGCTAATGGATTCACAGCTGTGTGAGCAGAACAATTTGCAGTGGGATCCTTGATCTACTCCAAATGAAGAACAAATCAGTTCTTACTATCTATTCAGGTATTTTAAGTCAGAACATAATTTGATGAACTTAACTGCGTTCTCTGAAATAAAACATCTGCAAAACAAGTGTGTTTTTACAGCGCAATTACAAACACTGACATATCTAATAAATAAATAATCATAATCACAAGTCCACTGATTTTACCTCTTCTGGGACACCACTCTGTTTCCTTAATTCAGAATCAACTTCTTTAATATCCTTTTCCCAGCTCTCCAATTCTCTCATAAAATCCTGCAGTTCTTCAGCATTTTGCTTCATCTGCAGCTGAAGCTCCAGTGCTTTATTTGATGCAGTCATTGTAACCTGCCAAAATACCAAGAGATCTTCCAAAGAATTTGTAAGCAATGAAGGAAGCTAGCAACTTCAAAATAAAGAAATCTGACTTAAACGGTAGGCGTGCTTCTCAAATAGCATGGCAAAATTAAAATTAAAGAGACTAAGAAACACAGTTAAATGCATTCAGGACAACAACAAGTCAAGATATTATTTAGATAAAGTAGAACAAAAAATAAGTCATGCACTCCTACTTAAGAGTAAGTTATAGGACTTAGTAGGTCAAGAAAAATCCAGGAAATGATGATGTATTCATCTTAGTTTAAAGCAATTTCTGGAGCATTTCCCAGAAGACAGAACGAGGAAAACATCAACATGTTCACACTAAGACTCAATTACAGATTAAGATCTACACACTACCTTACACCTGAGCAGAAACAACGCACATGACAAGCCAACGCTGAAACACGCTTTCTGTCAACATAAGTACGCTTACATATGAGTGCTTTTTTGTCTCACCCCGAGGCGGCTTTCACTGCCTCCCGTCCCGTTACCGAGCGGGCAAAGCAGCACGCCTCAGAAGGAGTCCCGTGAGAACAGCGGCTCTGGGTTCTGCAGCCCGCCGCCATCTCCCCACCTCCTCAGTGAAGCAGCACCGGGAGCCGCTCACCCGCCCCTCACACTGCCCACCATCCGCACGCGGGTGCCAAGGAGACGGGGCCGGGCGGGCCCCCACCGCATGAGAGCAGGCTGGAGCAACGGCCACACCGCCTACACGCACGAACGAAGACCCCCGCTCGCCCGACCCCGGCCCGCCCTTCACTCCGCTGCCCGTCTCAGCCTCACCTGCACCGCTTGCCGCCGCACAGCCCGACCTCCTCCCAGGCTGCAGCGCGACGGCGCTCCGACGGCGCCGCGGCAACGGACAGCGCATGCGCGCGAGAATACGCCTCACTTCCGCTCACGGCCCGCGGCCCCCGACACCGGGTGGCCACTCCCCCAAGTCACGTGGTTGGAAGCGGGCCCAGCGATTGGCGCTGCCGGCACGGCCGCCCTTTGCCCCGCCGTCGGGGACGGTGGCCGGCAGGAGCGAGGGTGCAGGGAGCTGCCATGGAGGACGGGAAGTCTGCTTCGCCGCCTGGTGCTGACGGTGGGGAGGAGGAAGATGACTTCGGATACCGGCTTTTCCCCGATCGCAAGAAGGAGCCGCAGAGCTTCCTGGTTCGCAGCCTCTTCACCTTCCACAACAGGTGCCAGGTGATGCTGAGGATGACTCTGGAGACGAGTAAGCTCTCCCCTGGGCCGCGAGGTCTCCAGCCGCCCCGCAGGGCTGCCCGCCGCCAGGTGCCGGGCGCTGCCCCTCTGGAGAGCTGCGGCGGCAGGACGGGGCCTCGGCAGCTGCGGGGTTTGGGAGTTCACGTTTAGGGCTTCATTTTCGCTCTGTTATGTTGCCTGCAAAGACCCTGGCCGTTATCTTCATGCCTGCTACTTATAAAATAACGTCAGATGTGACTTCTCAATAGCTTTGAGCGCGTTGCTTTGCATAGCCTGAGCTCTGGCACTCAGGTGTCAGTGATTGCCTGAAGGTCAAATGCTGCAAAGCAAAAATTTGCATATGCAGTGCATTCTTTCTGTTATGACGGTCCTTGTATTCTGATTGTAGATGACTTTCAAAACTTTTGTCTACTAAATTGACTGCAGCAATGTTTTTTTAGATCCGTATGCTCAACTGCTTATTGCGGCCATGAAGCAGTCTGGCTGGTACGTAAACTACTTCATCCCATTCTGTGTGGTAACATCTTCATTGTAGTGGATTAGCAGGCTTTCTCAAGTTCTTCCCACACTTTGTACCTTTCAGCACTGTTTTCAATGATCGGCACTTTTCTTGTGAAAACTGTGATGGCTGCGTCAGTGGAGGTTTCGATTCTGCCACTTCTCAGGTAGGCACTGAACTAGATGTTGTCAATGCAGAGCATTCAGACAGGAGGGAAATCAACATTTTACCCAGGTGGATGGTGATAGGACAAGGGGGAACTGTTTTAAACAAAGAGAAGGGAGATTTAGTTTAGATGTCAGGGAGAAATTTACCCAGAGAAGTTTGGATGCCTCTTTCTTGGAGGTGTTTATGGCCAGATTGGATGGGGCTCTGGGCAACCTGATGTAGTGCCTGATTTAATGACTGGCAACCCTGCCTGCAGCAGGGGTGGCTGGAACGAGATGATCTTCAGGGTTCCTTTCCAAACCAAGCTGACCTTTTAGAGGACTACAGATTTTTAAACGTTTTATTCCTTAATGAAAAAATGTACTGATATCTGAGTTAAAGTCATGAAAACAAGGCACGTGAAAGTTGTTCACCAGTATCGAACTTGCATTGCTAGTACATTGATGGGGCTACTAATGTTGAAAAATGATGACCTGAAGAGTCTGTATGCTGTAGGTTTTAAGCAGCGGGTCTCTAAGAAGTAAAAGAGATGTTGAAACTTGATGAAAAAGATACCTGTATCTCTTCTTTTGCAGATTGTTCTGTGTCAGAACAACATTCGCCACCAGTCCCATATGAACCGAGTGGTTGCGCATGAATTGATACATGCTTTTGATCACTGCCGTGCTCATGTTGACTGGTTTAAAAATGTCAAACATTTGGCCTGCTCAGAGGTAAGTTCAAATGATTCTAATGTTATCATTGAATTCATTGCTGGTTGTCATTAGGGACATTTAATTAGACGTCCTGTTATATGAATTTTATTTAGTTAATGCTCTTGAGATATTTTGTTCTTTCTGTCTGGTCAACCTAACCAGTTTTCATATAGACAACAAATCTTTTGTTTTCACAAATAGTGGTAAGTCATTGTTATACTAAGTAGAATGCTGTCTCTGTGGGTGGAAGTGTAACAGGACGTGGTTATTTCCATATGGGAATAGTTTGAGATTAGAATACATTCACATCTTCATTGAATATTTGTACTGTTTTTTTTTCCTCTCCTGCAGCTGGGAACTATGCTAACTTGCTTTTCATTTAGACATTTTGTCTTCTATAGCATACAATTTTTGATTGTAATGTTGGTAGTTGCACATTTTATGCTGTATATATAATAGTACAGTATTGTTAGTATAGAACTGTTTACTCCTATATATGGTATATGACTGGGCTTGATGTTGGTCTTGTTGAAACTGTTTTCTCCAGTTCTTTTGATACTTATTTTATATAATTACAGTGTTTCCAAGTTTTATTCAGTCAATGTTTTAATTCTTCCATTTCATATTTTCTCTGTATTTGTTTTCACAGTGGTACTTAATTTTACGCAATTTAGTTTCATCTGTGATTTTTAACTCAGGAGTTAATGTGTGGAACAGTTGACAGAAGAAATTGTACTGCATAGGACGAGATAGTTAACAAGCTAAAGAAGATGTACTCATTTAAATGTGTCTATTTCTAAAGAGCTTGGGTTACTGCTTTTCTAGATATTGCAGGTAGTAGTCATTGAAAGGTACCTGCTTTTCTTCCAGACTCTTTTATTAGTTTCTAAAATAGGTGCTTTTAGGATGAACTTAATTTCTTTTAGGAGTCTACAATTGTTGTTTTCAGCTCATTCATTTAAGCATTGAGAATATGTGAATTTTAATCCCCAGAGAAACCTGCAGACTGTATAGTATTACTTTGTAATCCATTGGGGTGGAATGAGCAGTTAAAAAGGGTATTCTGTACTTAGCAAATTGGAAAGGAATATTTTCTGCCCTCAGCCACTAGAAAGATTCTGAGAAAAAATTAGTTACTTTATAAAAAAAGTTTATATTTCCACATGTTTTTCTTATCTTGTGGCTTTTTTTTTTCCCCTGATAGATTCGAGCTGCTAATCTCAGTGGAGACTGTACACTGATGAATGAAATAGCTAGGTTTAAATTTGGATTGAAAGGACATCATCAGGTAAAGACTGTAGATATTGACGTCTTCTGATTAACAAATGAGCCTTCTTTACCTATTTGATCTCTGCCTCCTTTTATAGCTGAAAATGTCACAGAAAAAAGTAGATGTCTGACAATCCTTAATACCTTTGTTCTACGTTTATGTACCCTTCATTTCTCTCTTTCCATTTTGTTCTCCCATTACTGAGCCTCAATTTGTGCTTGTTTATGTCTCAGATTTCCTCAGGGCCCTGTTGTTTTTCCTCTAAAAGTTTTTCTTTTGGATGTGTACTTCAGGATTTGTTAATTGTGCCTATCATCTATATCCAGACTGCACTCATTGTTTCTTTGTTGTTGTGCACATTCCTCTATTTCCTGCAGTCTTGTTCATTCTTGGCTTGCATTCTTTGTGTATTTCCCATTCTTAAACCTCTCTGCTAATGAGAAGAGAGCAGAATGCAACTAAGCAATCTGCATATTCTTCATACCACTCCAGCTGGAGTATGTTCTTAACAGGTAGGCTGGGGAGGAGTGGAAAGCATAAGGAGCTTGATCTTGCCTTGTTTATCCAGGAACCTGCATTCACATTCCTGGCCTGTTCTGCAGTTGTTGCAGGTGACTGAATGTTTTTCTGCAAAGCAGCAGCCTCCTAATATTTAGTTTTCTGCATTATTTTTTCTTCTTCCTTCTCCTTAATCCTACCTTTGTACTTCCTGAAGGAAGTTCATTATTAGTTTCTTCCACTGTTTTACAGATGTAAGGTACCAGTCACTCCTAAAACATTAGTCTGTAATTTAATTTCACAGTTTACATGGTCACTTGTACCTGCAGATGTGCATGTAATAATAGCATTCTTTTTTGATGGTTTCTGATATTTTTCATCCACATTTTATATTATTGTTTGTCTCTCTGTACTACCCTGCAGTTCCATTTCTGGAGAGCAGTAGTGTGACAGGACCAATGCTCCTATGGATTTGCTCTTAATTAACCTTTGTTTAATTAACTTTTAATGGTTCGTGGAATCACAGAATAGCCCAGGTTGGAAAAGACCTTAAAGGTAATCAAGTCCAACCACAACCTAACCATACTACCCTAACTAACAACCCTCTACTAAATCATGTCCCTGAGCACCACATCCCACAGCCTCCCTCGGGAGCCTATTCCAGTGCTTAACTGGAATAGTGCTTACTGAAAAGTCTTTTCAGTAAAGACTTTTTTCCTTATATCCAACCTAAACTTACTCTGGCACAATTTAAGGCCATTTCTCCTTGTCCTGTCACCAGTGAGAAGAGACCAACACTGCTTTTGCTGTAAGCACCTTTCAGATATTGGAAGAGAACAATAAGGTCTCCCCTCAGCCTCCTTTTCCCCAGACTGAACAGCCCCAGTTCTATCAGTTGCTCCTCATAGGGTATATTCTTCAAGCCCTTCACAAGCTTTCTTGCCCTTCTTTGGACCTGCTCCAGCATCTCAATGTCCTTTCTGTACTGAGGTGCCCAAAACTGAATATAGTACTCAAGGTGAGGCCTCACCAATGCTGAGTACAGGGCAGGATTGCTTCCCTAGTCCTGCTCATCACACCATTCCTGATACAAGCCAGGAAGCCACTGGTCTTCTTGGCCACCTGGGCATACTGCTGGCTCATATTCAGCTGACTGTCTATCAGTATACCAAGCTCCCTTTCCATCAGGCAGCTTTCCAGCCACTCCTCCCCAAGCCTGTAGTGTTGCCTGGGTTTTCATGACCAAAATGCAGGACCCGACACTTGGCCCTATTGAAACTCATACAGTTAACCTGGCCCATCTATCCAGTCTATTCAGGTCCCTCCGTAGTGCCTTTCTTCCCTCAGGCAGATCAACACTCCCTCCCAACTCGATGTCATCTGCAAACTTACTGAGGGTGCACTCAGTCCCTTCATTGAGATCATTAATTTAAAACACTTTCTTAATTATTTTTGTTGAAATGAAATACGAGAATACTTAGTCATATTCTAAAGCATTGCCACTGACAGTGGATGGTTAATCAAAACTGAACAAAATCAGGATTCACAGGAAATGTAACAGGAATACTTGCCTGCTCCAAAGGGTTAAAACTTTTAAGGGTTTGAAAATTGGAGGAAGTATTGCAATGGGTTTAAATAATCACATCACCCAACGCTACTGAGGACAAGCAGATTGTTTTAGAGATCTTTGGAAGAATGACAGCTGGCCACAGGGTTTTGATTATAATTAAGGATTTATAATTACATAGAATGTTAGCAGTCAGCATTGGTTGTTATCTACAATTTCTGTCACTTAGTGTAGCTTAAACTTAACACAAAGTTTCTGGAATTCTTAGTTACACAGGTTTTTCAGTCACCTGGACCCTCTGCAGGTTGGGTCAGATTCTTGTTGATCAGTATGTAATGCACTAATAGTAACCTAAACTCTCACTTCACCTAAACAAACATGAGCCACTCACTCAGTCCTCTGAAATGAAGATGAGGTACCAGAGGAGTCAGGTTTGACAGCAGCAGTTCTGGTCTGGCTCCCACTTGGTGCATGCTACTGCTTGATTTTACAATTTCCAGTTCTATGTCCCAATTCCAAGTGCTCTTTGTGCTTCCACATTATGTGAGGGGTGTAACCACATCCTCATGGTGACCCACCACCTGGGCCTTGATAATGCAAAAGGACTTTACCCTGTGAATGGACATCCTCACACTGTGATGCCAGAAAAGGGGAGAGATAAAGGGGGAAGAGTGGTACGTGGCCAGCCCACTTGCATATTGTGACTCTTTGCCATATTGTTGGTTACAGCAACTGTATTACCAGGGTTAGGGAGCAAAGTTGCACCATGTGCTTCTTAAAGGAATTATTTTTTTAATAATAAAGATTACAGGTTTAGTCCTAAAGTCCTTAGTCTTGTTTACTCCAGAACAGCAATATGCTGGCTCCAGCGTTTGTAGCTGGAGATGCTTATGTTATCTTTATCTTTTAGTATACAAACTGTGTAAGCAAAAGTAGACATAAAGAAATGTATCAAAACAAAGGCCAATAGAGAAATCGTTCCTTTTTATGTTTTAAAGAATTTCAGTTGGAAAAGTACTAACTGGTATTTATGTCTGTTTATTTTTGACATATTTTCTTTTGTGTGCAAGTCAAATTATACACATATTAAGTACCCACAGCAAATCTAAAATTTTATTTTTTTGTGTTAAATGTAATATCACTTTCTTTTCTGAAGGTTTATGTATGCAATGGAAAACTAAGATACATAGTCAAAACAAAATTGAAAACTACATATTTTAATGCTTATTGGAGACATTGCTTGACTTTTCTGTGATAAAAAATCATTGTGCGTGTAGTAGAAGTTAGTACTTGACAAAACCTTTTTTAAGGATAAAAGGATGTATTCTGCTTTTTCAAGTAATGACAGATTTTCTTTATCTGATTTTCATTTTAGACCTGTGTGCGAGACAGAGCAATTCGTTCCATTCTGGCTGTTAGAAAAGTTAGCAGAGAGACTGCGGAAAAAGCTGTGGATGAGGTTTTTGATACCTGCTTCAATGATCTGGAACCATTTGGGAGAATCCCGCACAGTAAAACAGATGCAAAACGTGCTTATAAAGACTTCCTGAATCGAGATCGCTACACTGCTAATTTGTAAAGGAAAAACATGAAAAACTATGTTCATAACTGGTAGTTCTGTAACATCTGGAGTTACATCTACACGCACAGTGCTGGTGGAAAGGGGCAGTTCTTTCGAATGTATCAATTCATTTTGTAAATTTTTTCCAGGAGCCATCTCCTGTTGAGGTAAATGACGTAAATGAACTAGACTAAACATACTGTCTTTCCTCACTTGTTCCAGCAAGATCATTTAGTGTATCAAATTACTTGGCAAATAATGATCTGCGTATTTCAGTGCACATTTAATTCAGTTATTGAATAAATTGTTTCATAAAAATCTTCAGTTTTCCAACATCTTTGATAAATAGTCATAAATTTGATGATGGTTATCATTCTGTTTGAAAAAATGGGCATGTAACTACAGCTCTATATGTATATTTAACAGCTGAAGCTAAATCCAAAATGAACTGCCACGTATATCTCAGAGTCAGTCTTTGAGCACCTCTGAAATCACTGGAATTCCACCTTGTCTAATGTCAGTTGTAACATAAAACCCTTTTACGTATTAGAAATTTGACTAGCAGTCAAATTACCAGGCTTACCAGATCAAACCTACAAACTGGGTAAGCATTGTTAAAAGAGTCTCCACCAACCAGTCTTACACAAAAAGTTTGTGTAACTCTAAGACAGGTAAGTTCATCTCTTCATCTGAGAAAGGTGGAAGCTCCTAACTTCATCTTAAATCTTAGAGAAGTTGTCTAATTCTGTTTTTATTTCCAAATGCAGGGTATTATATTAATTGTCTTGGACCCTAGAAAGCCATATTTTCTTCTTTTTCTTGAAATAAGAAATAAGAGTCTACCACAAGTACAGTACAGTTCACTGAAAGAATGGAGATATGGGTCCTCAGTCAAAGGGCTTGTGGGTATAGCTGCTAGAAAAAGTTACTGGGTCAAGACTGAAGTGTCATACTTAGGTCCACAAAGCATCAAACAGTCCTCTGATTATTATTGTTTCACACTGATTGCCAAATATCTTAGGCCTTCAACTTGTGGTGAGTGGATTTGTTTGTTTGTTTATTTATTTATTTTTACTGGTAGTATTAGTTCTCCTCAATGGAATTGCTGAGATTGGAAAACTGATGGAGACTATCTCTCAACCACACTGTATAGAGCAGGGTAAACTAGGTCAGGTTTTTTAGGAGCAAGTTTAGTTGCCTTTGTATGCGTATATGGATGGAGACTCAGAGTAATCTTTTCCAGTATTTAATAGTGCTTGTAGGTACGTAGATATGTATTGAATATTTAAATGGAATTCCCATTATTTCAGTTTTTGCTCATTTCCTCTCACCCTTGGCACCACTGAGAAAACTGGCTCAGTCTTTATTTCTACCCTTAGAATCATAGAATGAACCTATTACTACACATTTAGAAACTTAGATAGTTCTTTCTCTGCTGTCGATAAGTGTGTTTTTGTTTCTCACTGATCTTAGAGACATAGGATTTCTGAAAGCTCATCTTACTAGTAAATACTGAGTCAATGAAGTCATCTAGTCTTTTTCATGTCCTTTGTCACTAAGTCCACTATATTGTTTAGTGCTGGGCTCACGTTTTCCTTATTCTTCCCTTTTTAGCTGTTATTCCTGTATCCTGTGTTGTTGCTTTCTATGTTCCCTGCCAGATTCAACTTCTTTTTTATTTATTTGTTTATTATTTTTTTTCTGGCCTTTCTAATGCCATCCCTGCATGCTCAGACAGCATTTCTGTAAGTCCTCCTGAATCACTCAACTGTGCTTCCACCTACTGTGCTTCTTTTTCACACTTGAGTTTTGTCACAACCTCCTTATTCAGCCAAGCAGGTCTGCCATCTTTTCTTGGCTTGCATATAGGGATTGATCATTTTTTAATTTTGAGGACTTAATCCTTATAAGTCATCTAGCTCTCATTGGCCCATCTTTAGGACATTGTTTCTTTTAAAACTCTGAATAGATCCCTTGTGAGGCTGAAATCTATTGTCCTGAAGGCTTTAAACTGAAAGAGGAGAAAATTCTTTAGTCAGTGGTGAGAGTCACTGGAACAGGTGGCTCAGAAAAGTTGTGGACACCCTGTCTCTGGATTGCTTAAGACCAGGTTGGACACGGCTCTGGGCAGCCTGATTTAGTTGGTGGCAACTCTGCCCATGGCAGAGGGGTAGAAACTAGATTGTCTTTGAGGTGCCTTTTAACCCAGGCCATTCTATAAGTCTGAGAGCTTTAGCCATGCTTTTTGCTTTGTTCCTATCATATAAAGGGTAATTCCTCCGTCTCAGCCTGTTCTTCTCAAGGAGCCTGTCAGTGCTCCTGTTGGGTGAGCTATTCCACTACATCTCTGTGACCCTAATGAAATCATTGCGCTGCAACTACATTCAGATATCTAATTCCTCATCTTTTAGCTTCATTCTTCATAACTGTGCTTTGTATATACAGGACTGCTAAAAAGTCCCTGACATCTTAAAGTTATGGAACGGTACAGATAGATTACTGTTGTGTTCTCTAAATTGTTTCTTTATTCATCTAAGGACTTAAAAAGATACTTCTCTACAGGTACTAGTTTAATTTTAAAAACTGATTTTACACCAGTATTTTTGTGCAGTGGCTTGATGTGAATCAACAAAGGAATAATATGTGATAAAGTTCAAAGTCTTTTCATCTGTATTTCAAATATTCAGCCCCTAATGTAGAAGTAACCAGGGTAATCATCAACCAGACACCTGTAAAACCATAGCATAATTCAATTCCTTGAACTGAATGATGTTGACCCTTCTGAGGAGAGAGTTGCCATCCAGGGGGACAACCTTAATGAGCCTGGGAGGTGGGCCCATCTGAACCTCATGCAGTTCAACAAAGCCAAATTTAAGACCCTGCAGCTGGGTTACAGCAATCCCAAACACAAGTGTGGGCTGGAAAAGTACCTGCAACTTGGGCTCTAAGCACAAGAATTTTCCAGCTGTGTTTTGCTCACAGTGAGTTCAGTCAGGCAAAACAAAACTAACCAATCAAACAACTTTCTGTCATACTACCTGTTGAATTAAAGCTATCGCGAAATAGCAAAAGAATGCCACCTGCTTCCTGGCTGTGCTTAGGCAACGTATAAGGTCACCATACAAATTTGAAATTCACTCACTTCACCTACTCTCAAGAGAATGTCTCTGTTGCAGGGTCAAAATTTTGTGGTTCTACGCATGCTTTCCTTGGCTGTGTGCATTTTGATGCTTTCATTCTCTCTCAAGGTTTGGAAAGAAGCAGAAAAACTGGATGAGAGTGGAAGTAATGACTATAAATATATATTAACACAGAGAATTTAAGACATAAGGTAGAATGGTTATGAAATGGCCAACATTAATTTAATTAGGAAATTAGAAAACGAAGATTAAAGGTATTCTAAATAGGGTAGAGGACAAGGGATGTATATTTTTTTTATACTGGGAATAAAAAATATAGGGAAAGACTTGAGCCCAGAATCAGAAATGTGAAGCATTTGAGTAATATTCCCTTGAGCCTAAAGTCAAATCAGATTGTTGTGCATTCACATTTATTTATTTATTTATTTATTTGCCTGGTACAATGTAAGGGAATTGATATGTCACAGTCTGAACTGATGACTGAGCACCTGGAGAAGAGGGTGGCTGGCCCAGGAAGCACAGGTGCAAGCAATTTACCTGTGCTTCCCACGTGACTGGAAGGGATGAACCATGAATCTGCCCCCCCCCTCCTCCTTCCCCCCAGGCTCATTTAAGGGCTAGCCTCTGAAGGGAGACTGTTTTCTGGATGGAGGCCACTTCCTGAGAAGGAGTGTTTGAGGACCAGAGAGGCTATCTCCAGTTAGATGAGTCAACTTTTTCCCTTTATGTGATTACTGGTGTTCCTAATGACACTTTGCCTGATATCACAAAGAACTTAGCAGTCAAAATTTCACTGATTACAAGTACCAACATACAGTAACCCTGTATTTTAGGATTACATTTGATCATTGGTGAAGTTTGCTTCCATTTTTTTTTTGCCTATGTTTTTCTTCTTCAGATCTCAAAATAGGTTGTTGTGAAAGTAAAGCCTCCTATTTATTTCCACAGAAAACAATAAGCCGCAATAACACTATACAATAGAGCAAATTATTGTTTACAAAACACTGTTTTTCAGTATGGCAACCACCATTCCCTATGCATTTTTGCCAGCACTGAACAAGAGCCTGCATGTTGCGGCTGTAAAAATCTGCACCAATGGAGGTGACCTGCTGTCACAACTGCTGAAATGCAGTTTCAGCACAACTGCCTCACTGTGCTTGTATCCATTATTTGATCCTCATAAATGTTCAGCAAATGTTGACGAATGTCAATGGTGCAATTTTCTCTGCATGAAGGAATTCAATGACATAACTTTGCTTCCATGTCAGATGCTATTTTGTCAGACTGCCCCTCTGTCTCGTGGCAACAAAATGCAATGAAATATCAGCAGGAAGCTTCAGCCTTTACTTCCATACCACCACCATCATCAAATAGGAGGCATTACTTTTGGAGCAGTCCCCATATATAACTTTTATTTCCAATTTTTCTATGTCTTCCCCTGCAGCACTAGGGAGGCTGCAGTAATTTTTTTACCCATATTAATGAGTAAGTAAGTGACTTAGAATGAAATGATGAGTTTTAGATCTTAAACCCAAGTGGCATTAAAAGAGTTATTTTACTTGCATGGTCACAATTAAACTAATCACCAAACCTGGGATCAGAAAGGAATTTTCTCTTGATTAATTTGGTAGAGATTACTCTTTTTCCTTATTCTGTAGTATGGAGATTGAAGCAATACTCTGAAGGCTGAAAAAAAAAAGGAGGTATTCTAGTCACTGTAGCAGTTGTGCTGAAGGAATGATAAGCTGGGCGTTGTGTGCATAGGGACACAGTTAGATGCCAGACTAGGAGCAAGACTGTCTACAATCCATTAGAAGCCCAGCTAGAGTCTACACCAGACACCCATGACACTCAGCATAGGAGATATCACGTATAACAGTACGTAGCATGAACAGAAGATACAGTGCTGCTAATGGCTTGCATCTGTATGCATACTTACCGTGTGAGCTGTTCGGTCACCAGTGCACAGCATTATGCTTACTGACTATTACTGCTGTTCTGAATGAAGATGCCTGGGTGGCCTGTCCAACACTTAACTGATCTGTGATGGTGGCGAGGCTGAGTCAAGGGGAAGTCAGAAGATTTCAAGTGCCTGACAGGCTTTCAGTCTGGGAGGGAAATATCCTCCCACTACCTCCAGAATTAGGAGCCTCAGAAGGGACTATTTTCTGACTGCAGCTTTGGGCTTCTGCAGCCCACCTACTTATTTTACACACCTATGTCCTTTGGATCTAAATGTAATTCTATAATTCCTTGCTGGTAAGGATTCAATCATGTAATTAGTCTCAAGCCCATTGAATCCTGTCCTCACAGGCTTCCCAGAAAGGTAGTGAATACCCCATCCTCGGAGACTGGACAGGGTTCTGAGCAACCTGATCTAGCTGTGGATGTCCCTGTTTCCTGCAGGGGAGCTGGGTTAGATGACATCTAAGGTTCCTTTCAAACTCTCAAGATTCTATAACTCTAGGGTTTTCATCTGTGTCTCGATAGCAAACTGCACGAAGGAAATGATAGCAAAGATAGCCACTTCTCCTGTGCCCGGAACAGAGAACGATGTGTCATCACTTCCTGAACAGGAAATAAATACCTAGAAAATATTTGTGTGTAAGAACTGCCCTCACAAAGGAGAAAGCAATATATCCAAACAGTGTCTGCAATATTTGATCAAGCTTGAGTTGTCCGAGCTGTTTGTGGTGGAATTTAGGTGGACTGCACATATTCCCAGGTGTAACACGATGCATACCTGCAGGTAGCATTGCTTCTGGGGCTGACTATTAATGCATATCCCTCAGAAAGTCACTTTGGTTGTTCTGAAGAAAGTAACATCTTGCCCAAGATTCCAGAAACCTGTACTTTCAAAAGTTCTGCAGAATTTCACATGGAGATTTCATAATCATATTTTCTCAAGGTGATTCTATCAGGGGCTGACATAATCACATGGCTGAATATCCAAACGGGAAAAAAAAAAAAAAAAAAAGAAAAAAAAAGAGAATATAATACCCTACATACCCATGGAGAAAATTGCGCATTGAAATCTAAGCTTCCCATCTTTTACATAATCTAGCTAGACCTTGTGGGTTTTCTAAAATCCCCTGCAGATCAGAGATGCCTTAGAACAGCATAATCTTGTATGTTAATATTCCCTTAACCTTTGCTGTTTTTCAGATCTCCATTTCAGTCAGCATGATGCTGAATGTTTCATAATACTTCCAACATATATTCCTGATGGTATTTCCTTCCCTTTGTTATATCTTACAAAACAAAATTCTACTTTAATGAATGTGTGTGAGAGTGCTTTGTATTCATATTGCTTTTTGATCAGCATATTGGTTGGATATTTATAGCTGTCTGGGATAAACTCTGTCAACTTTATTTAGAAATGAAGAAAAAGTAATAAAGAATAGAGTACAAGAATACAAACTGCGGCTTCCTTTCTTTATCATTTTTCATAGGTGAACACCATAAAAATCTGGGAAATAAAGTATTCCAGAGATGCTTGAAAGAGACATTAGTAATAAAGAGTACACTGAGCTATGTGAAAACATAATTATTTTTTAAAAGTGATTGGTATAATATAAAATTGCATAACCAGGATGCGTCAGCTTGAGCAACAGATACATTACAGTTACACCAAGTCAAGTTCAGATGGTAGAATATATGCACAGCAATTCACCAGAAAGCAATCAGAAGAATCTGATGGGCTTCTTGTCATTTTGTGAGAAAATAAGGGGCAATAATTATATGAAACTTTTCACACACTGTTTATCAATTCAAGCAATCATTTCATTGCGTTAGGCGCAATTTTAATCTGCATCATTTTTTTCTCATCAAAACA